AAAATAAATATATTATTTGTTCTACCATTTACATGGTGTACCTTATTTAAGGGTGTTTCCAAAAATAAACCCAAAAAAAAACTAAAAAATGTTACACATATTCGAAAACCACTAAATTTAAGATTCTAGATTATGTTTTTGTGATTTAACTTAAAAAACATAATTTAATTACCCAGAACCATCTCATACACGGCAATCACCGCCCGTCCTTATCTAATATTAACTATCCTCAATACAATATATTTCAACCCACAAACAAACCTATAGTGTAAACATTTTTCAATACAATTTTGAATATTCTGTTCAACCATTCCAATGTTACTAAAACCAAAAGGTCCTAACAAACGTCGGCAAAGCAGTTCATACTGTCTTGATTTTACATTATATAGCAGTTAAAATAATTACCCACTTGACGATATTTTTAATTCAACTAACCATAAATTTATCTCTGTTGACAAGCAAATCGATTTTGATTTCATTAACCTTGATCAATAAAAAGTGATATTATAAAATAATATTACAATTACCACACAATTTTATTGCCTGTCACAAGTATGAATTACGACTTGTTTTAATCAAGTTTCTTTTGATTTATTGCTCACTTTCAATGCCTCAATATATTTATGTAGGTATCTCACATTTTTTTACTATTATGGCTCCGGTCCCATATATATCGTGATAATACAGGTTCCGAGATATGGAATGCAGTCAAAAATGCTTTAATAGGCATTAATTTACTGTAATGAAGACTTCATAAATCATAGTCGCCATTTTTAAACGCCTAAGAATTTTGTATAATTTTGGAAGTTATTTTTATAAGGCATAATTTATTATTCAATTAAATAACTGCCAATTAGTTATTGATTATTTTATTAATATAATTAATACCATTCATTTGCTCTCATTATATAATATATATTAATAATTCGCGCGTAGTTTGAATGTTGGTATTGCCAGTTTAAATTATTTAAAAACTTATTCAAATTGCACTGTTTTAACTAAAGATTATTGTCATCACAGCGTCAATACTATTTCACAAAAAGTGACGAAAGAGAACTTTAGATAACAGTGGAATTTTCCTGATACGTAGATATTTGTTTTCAATATGTAGTCTATTTTCCTATATGGTGCGAAAACGTGGTCGTATGGCAGGAGATCGTCGAAAGGTTGATGCGCTGGAGATATAGTGACGGTTCCTAAAAATACTATGGCTTTCTGGACAGCAGTTCCATCCTCAAAAAACTACTGATACAAAAAAAGATTTTCGTCGCTTGTACAGATACGGATATTTAAGTTCGGTCGGCTTAAGCTTTCAAGGAATAAAAATTATTGAGAAAGTGTTCAAAGGAGTTGTTCCGATGAATACCTGCAGCTGAGGTTCATCATCGGACGTCAAGGCAGAATACCACATACCATGCGTATCACCTCGTCGTACGTTGTTCCAAAACTGAGCGTTTTGCACAATCACTGTATGAAACCAGCTGCTCACTAAAGTATTTCCGATCCAATTCGACTTAGGATCCGTTAAGAAAAGAGCGTACCAATTCTTAAAAGGCCAGCCAACGCACTCGCGAGCACTCCTCTGGCATGGAGAATGTCCATGGGCGGGTGTATTGTTGGAGTGCTACAACTGGATCCATTCTGTAACAGTTCTGTCGAGATGCGGAGGATAGAAAAAGTAGAGATCTATAGTGTTGCGAGCAGCGGTAGTAGAAACCGACCTCTTAAAAGTGCAGTGCAAGTGCACGAAGAAGAGAAAATATCAAATATTGACACATAACAAGCCGCAGTGAACTGTTTATATTTTTTGTTATATTCTCTCGTGTACTAGAGTAAATATGGGTTATTTTATGGATCGTCATAAATGTTGACATATTTGTAATTTTTCCTTCAACTCATGAATAATGAATCTACGAATAAGCGTTAAATTGAGTTTTAGTATAAACGTCACCGAAAACACGTTAGAATCACCGAACACACAATGATTTTAAAATGATGACAGCATCTTTTACTATGTATTTTTTTTTAATATTGAAAACTATTACAATATACAGCCTATACTAGATGAAAGAAATAGCCTTTTAGGCTACCCCGCTACTACCTTGGTCAACTGACAACTCCGAGTCAAAACTCAAAACTATCAACCCTGGTGCTTACGACATCGCCGCACATGAAGCTCTACTGGAGCAAATTTAATTTATTTATTTATTAACAGCTCAATGGCCAAACTAATGGTAAATTAAACTCCATATATAATTACAATATTTGTTGCGCTTATACTTATATATGTATTTCGTACATAAGATCGCGATTTAAACTTGATTTTCAAGAAATATGTTATTGTTAAAGTTGACATTTGTATAAACGAAACTTGTCTAAAAACAGATATTACAAAAGGTTATTTACAAGTGCGTATTATTTCGTTGGAAGAAACATTTTTATTCGACAGGTTGTTTAAAATTTAATAGCTAACAAATTAGGGGGCGTTCAAGTATTACGTCACGCAATTTTTGGTTGATACGCCCCAAAGTAAAGTAAAACGTTTCGAGACCGTCTAGTGACTCTTTATACCTAAAAGTAACCATTATGCGGCGTAAAGTACTCGACAGTCGAAAATAATATTAACAATAACGCTTAATTCCATCCCCGCCCCGCATCATAACGTTTTACAAAAGGATCCCTCCCCCCCAAAATTCGTTACGTAATACTTGAACGCTTCTTACTAAGTACAACTTAATTTTGTTTACACGATAAAACCGAGTAACGCACCACTAAAGTATCGTGTGTCCACATCCAAAGAATACGCAGCCTCCACTGATTTTCTAACAAGCTATAAATAATTAATTAATCGTGTGACTGTTAGCCGTATAATGAGGGCGGCGTGCGAACAAAAAGCTTGCTACGAGCGCTGAATCAAGTCTCCTTTTTTTAAACCCTGCGGTAGGTATGTGATTCTAGTTACCATACTTCAACATCCGCACTTTTTGCCAAGTTAGTAGGAAAACTAACGGTTTTCTTTACGCTTTTGTGGATAGTGTTGCCATTTTTGGGGTAAGTTTTTGTTGTTGCCCTATGCGGCGCTTTCTGGAATCGTTGCGTGCTAGATAGTTTTATTACGTAAAGTGTATTGGTATTTAGCGTACAGGTTCTGGATTCTATTCGGAGAAGATTTATTTGGTTACGTGACTGCTTTCTATTAAATGATCATGTGGTGTGTCTTATTAGAATGGCGTAAGAATACAGAATGTATGTTATTCTTTAGTACACTTTAGGTTAAAAAAACAATCCAGGATTTTGTATGACCTACAAAATCTTAATAATAAAATTCACTACTACCGACTTAGGTACCAGACTTTTGGAGAAATTAGTATCTGAGTAGAAAATATATTTATAATCTAATATATAAAATTCTCGTGTCACAATGTTCGTTCCCATACTCCTCCGAAACGGCTCGATCGATTCTTATGAAATTTTTAATGCATATTCAGTAAGTCTGAGAATCGGCTACTATCTATCTTTCAAACCCCAAAGAATTATTTTTTATACAATTTTTTTTAAGCATACACATTATTTTTATGCTTAAAAAAATACATATGTATTTTTGTATGCTGTATCAACCCCTAATTTTCGCCCCTCTACGATCAACCCCAATTTTTTATTTAGTAGTTAGTAGATAATTATTTTTATTGAACTAAAAAAAAGTTTCCTAGAAATAATATACAAAGCAAAACAATGTTTAGTTTAATAATAAAATAATATTTGTAATACCAAATACGTGAGTAGAAACTTAATAATAGGCCGGCAACACTTGTTTGTGATGTATGAAAATCTAAAGACCCTGCCGTCCCTTTGTCTCCGTTTCCTCTCTTATATAAATGTATAACTGTTAGGTAAACTCGAAAAAGGACGATAAAAGGAAACAAAAGAACATTATACACGATTTGCTCTTTTTAAGGCGCTTGTAATTACGTTATTCAGAACAGAAAATATATCGTCCTGGCTTCGATCTTGTTGAAATTATACCGATAAAACTCTGACTTGCGTTAAACAAACTTAACCTAACTTTTGAAATAATGATTGAAATGGCCTAAACATGGCGTTTTGGCATAGAAATGAAAGTAATTTATTTGAATTTCTCTAAAACTATTCCAGAAAAAAAGATTCAAACTTTTGTTTGCTTGAAATGGAGTAGGCTTCATTGGCCAATTCATTAGGTATGTTGGTGACCAGACTTTTGTTCCTACCTTAAAAAACTATATGTTGTATAGTTGTTAATCGATTTGACTATGTTTTGTATGAAATATACAAATATGCCCAAGTTTAATAATACCTACTAACTGACGTTAGACTGATCTTAAATTAAATTATAATGATTCATGTGCACTTTTTATTATAATTTTTTTTTTCATGTACCTTATGTTGTGTTTTTTTTTGTTCCCGTGTAGTTTCAATTCTTAACAACTATATGTAATACATGTATTTTTTTTGTACTTCTTGCCTACCCTATGTAATTTAATACATTTTTTCTTTTCTAAGTGGTTGCTGGAATAGATCGCTCGAAAGCGATAAGGCGAGTTGCCTTTCCTTTACATGTAATTATGTTAATTTTTATATATAAAAGCAACAAAGTGTAAATAAATAAATAAATATGCGTACACGGAGCATATACTCTCATAAATATAAACGTGAAAAATAAAACAAATAATAACAATAGTAAAAATATTTATTTATGTCATTGCCATGTCAAGTAAAGAAAATTAAAATGTTGGTAATTTTTTTCTAGATATTTCTAGATTTTTTTCAACAGTAAAGAGTTTCTATTGAATTCGATCCCGAAAACTTTACTAAGTACATCCACAGATTATAAATGCAACAAAAATTTCATCTACATAGGTTATATATAACAACATAAATCATTGTTTAACTCATCACACGCACCTTCCATCTTTACTTTTTATCATGTAATTCTTTTTAATAATCATAAATCGGAAGTCTCTTGACTAATTTTTATTAACAAGATCTATTGACAGGTTAAATTGTCCCTTCTCCAAATCGCATACAACTTGGTAACTCCACTTGTCCGTACTGTTTAGTACTTGTGGGTGTTTCTGAAAAAAAAATCAAAGCTCTAATGAAGTATTTAGGGATAAATGCTTTATTAATATATGCGCTTTATCAGGGCATGGTGTGTATAGCAAAGAAAAATAAAAAATCAGACTATTTATTTTATCTTTTTAAATGAAAAATGAGTGAATGTGACAAGACTGTTAGAAAATTCAATATATATGTCGCAGCGAACTAGCTCAATTAGCCGTTCAATTAACAGCCTAGCCGTTTAACTAGCGGCCTGAAACATATTCAGCCGTAGCGTTTGTGCGTACAACATTTAATAAACTGGCTAATGCTTACGCCGTTCGTACGATAGAGTCATTATTTGGCAGAAATAAAAAAGATGAAACATATGTCATAAAAAATATTTCTTTTATAATTAAATTGGTTGAGTTAAATTCACATTATTGTCACTACACTCTTCCAACTCGTTGTTTTTCATGAAACTTTGGAAAACACCATCAAAGTTGTGGTTTCCCGACGCCATATTGAAAGTTTGAAGAGTTTCGTTTCTAGTTTGAGAATGGCAGAAAGTGGAATTAAATTTAAATTAACTTAACAATCAACAGGCAAGTAATGAAACGTCATCGATCCAAGTCATTTGCCTAGCTATTTGATTAACTGGGTAAACATCTTTCAGGCAGCTAGTTGAAAGGCTAGGCTGTTAATTGAACGGCTAATTAAGCTAGTTGACTTCGACATATAGACCAAATAGTAATCAATAAATGGACTATCCAAGGAAAAGATAATGTTTTAATTCAAACCAGTAGTTCCTGGGTTGAGTGCCTTCAAACAAACGCGTCGCTTAATAATGTAAGTGATCAACTTAATTTCATTTGCAAGATATATATATATATATATATATATATATATATATAAATTATGTCTTTAAATAACTCAGACATTGCAAAAAATTTGTTTATGTAAGAAGATAATTTTTTTAATACTTGTAATAGTATTAAATATTTAATACATTTAATTTTTTTAAATTACAAATGTTAGTTACATTATTTAAAATATTTTAAGTCTTCAAGGTTTTTTGAAACATTATATTGAATGTATTGTGTATCTAATGTATTATTCCTTTTTAAACGATTTATAAATATTTTATAATAAAAAGTTTAAAATACTTGTAATAGTATTAAATATTTCATAAATTATTTATGATTTAATACTTTTCAAATTATTTAAAAAAAATTTAAAACAATAAATACATTTTTTAATTATTTTAGTACTTTTTAAAATTACAAACGTAAGTTATATCATTATGGAATATTTGAGACTATTTCAATTATATTAAAACTTTTTTAAAACATTACATTGAACGTATTTAAAAATAATTAATTATATAAAGTATTAAATACTTGATTTAGTATCAGATACTCAAAAAAGTACTAATTGCGTTATCTGTTGCAAACTTTCTTATTAAAGAGGCTTTAAAAAGTGTATATATCTACCAATATCTTAACGGCCTGCCTCGTATGCATGTCCCATTCCACGAGTTGGCCCAGCATTGGCAAATCGGTTGGGCCGGCGCTCATTTGCTTGCCGCCAACTATCCACATAGCCCATATCGCAAAACCGTTTATATTGTGGCTTCCATCAGATGCATCTCTAAAAATATTTATGCTTCAAATTATTTAATTATAACTGACAGTCTATATTTCATTTTTATATTAATAATAAAATAACTGTGATAAGTCATTTAGATAAATCAATCGACTTAAAAAATCTAAATTATAGAAACCCTCCAAATATTTAAAAATCTACTAAATTTTGATGAAATTTGAACGGTTTTCTAAGTTTGTTGGCCTTTTCAGATCTGGGCCTCAGATATATGTATCTGTTTCATGATTATTTGTCGATCTAATAGGCAAGTAGGTGATCAGCCTCCTGTGCCTGACACACGCTGTCGGCTTTTTGGGTCAAAGCAAGCTGTTTTCCTCACGATGTTTTTCTTCACCGTTCGAGCGAATGTTAAACGTGTACATAGAAAGAAAGACTATTGCCGTACACACTATTGTACACAGCCGGGATGGAACCTACAACCTCAGGGATGAGAGTCGCACGGTGGGGCCACGCAGCTCTAAGCTGGAACATACCGCATTTAAATCAATGGACTATTTTCCATGTATCTATTTTTCATAATTCCAAGAAATGTGTAGAAAAACACACACACACTTATTAAATTAACACACATGCTGTAAAATAGTAAAAAGTTTCTCAATCTATATGTGATTGTTATAAATTGTTTTCGTAATTTAATTTTTAAGTTCTTTTTTAGGATCAATTTACTTCTGCATGTAAATAACAACGAAGATTATCTTGTTTATTAATTATATATTTTTTCACTTACACAATATCAAAGACGCCATCTCCAGCCATCGTAGGCTTAAGATCTTTGAAGTTGATCTCGGCCAGCTTCCGTGGACTTCCTCGGCACTTGCAGGGGTACTCCCATAGTGGCTGTTCTTCGATCTCGGCATCGCTTATTAATCGAGAATTCTGAAAAAAAAATGTTTCTGAATACTTGCTTGATATGAGCAAAATGTTCCGGTTAGCTTGCCTCTTTTAGGTGTCTTAAAGCGTAACGCGAAATCAAATTACTTTTTGATAAAACGCTCTTTTGACACAGATTAATAAAAAATAAAGTCAATGTAAATGAGATTTCATGTAACTACTAAATATTATGTATTTTCACAGTTAATCACATTACTATATAGTATTACTAGCTGATCCGGCAAACGTCATTTTATATTATATATCATTTATAATAAAAAATATCGATGGGTTAATCATAGAGGGGTGAAAATTAGGGGTTGTATGTATTTTTTAATGATGTATCATAAAAAATAAAACAAAAAAAAATCTAAAAATTAAAAAAAAAAATTAGGGGACTACCCTTAACTTTTAGGAGAATTAAAAATAGATGTTGTCCGATTCTCAGACATACCCAATATGCACAAAAAATTTCATGAGAATCGGTCAAGGCGTTTCGGAGGAGTTTAACTACAAACACCGCGACACGAGAATTTTATATATTAGATATAAGATTTTACTACCGTAAATACTTCAGTGGGTAGCTGATTCCACATAGTGGTTGTACCTTAAGAAACGCTCAGTTGTGGAACGAAGTACGTCGAGATAATGCGGATGGTATTTTGTATTCTGCCTTGACGTCCGATGATGAAAGTATGTATATATCTGAACAACTCCTCTGAACACTCTTCATGGTAAATGCAGTGGAAGATGCAGGGAGGAGGGATAAAACGATACGAGTAAATACAAGTACATACTCGATACTTTTCTCCGATACCAAGTACTTTTAGTATCGATACTTTGAAATTAAGTATCGAGTAGGTACCGATTAAAACACTCATATCAGTATGCCAATGTTACCAATTCATTTTATTTACCATTAAAAAATGCATATCTTAAATGGAAGTCAAAGCCTTATTTCCAGCGTTATATAATCAAGCACGCATATATTTGAACGTAGTCGGTACCTCTATACCTTGTGAAAGGCTGTTTTCCAAAGCTGGCGCAACAGTCACGTCTTCCAGAAATCGCCTACCAGGCAAACATTTGGAAAAATTAATATTTTCGGGAAGCACTACCAAAACAGATTTTTTTTCATAAATTTTGTAATCATCAATAAAGAATACCAAAACAATTTTACGGTTTTTACTCAAAACTTTCCAAAAACGATTTGATTCGAGTAGGTATCGATACTTTTCAATTGATACTGAGTAAGTATCGATTCTGGACGACCGATACAGTATCGATACCTCTATGGTATCGTTTCATCGCCAGATTTGTACGCAACGCCAAGGGATCAAGCCGCACGGACTTGTCGCTGACGATTCGAATCTCTCCTCGTTAAATACGGTCAAGCGAAAAGAGCTGGTACTGGGCTGCCGCTTAGAGGAGAGAACAGTACTCAATGTGGGGGTACTGTACAGCACATAATGGTAACCCTTAGGTATAAAGAGTCACTAGGTGGTCACGAAACTGTACTTGGTTACAGAAAAACGTTAAGGCGCGATACATGGGGGGGGGTCAATAATCTCCAAAAATTGCGTGACGTAATACTTGAACGCTCCCTAAGTGACAACTGGTTAAGGGATAAAACTCCGGGTCCCGTCATTTTGCCCTCCTAAAACCACTATAAGTGAGAATAAGTCATTTTTCACGCGTGAACTCTATAAGTGAAAATGAGCCTTAGAGTATTTTTTATATTAGTTTTTAGAGTATACCTTTTTTTATTGTAAATAAGTGATGTATATTAAAAACTTACCTCAACAAGTCCATCAAATATTGTCATGTCAATGCCCTCGCACACATTTAACGGAACCCGAATTTTATGTAAATCATTAAATTCCACCGGCATCGCCCAAAATTCACAACCGTCAGGCAAGCACACAGACTCCAACTTATATTTGTGCAATAAATATGCAACTTTTAAATTTTCCCACGGCAATATCGCCGAACTGAAATTCGGGTCACAGATAACACTCGTCACTTCACTGAGAACATCCTTTGTAATCTCTGGTATTATTCTAACGTTGTCTATGGCGTTTTCTTGTATGTAATCATTTAGTATACCGATATGTAGCTGCATAGGTTCCAAAATGTAGACGAATTTTGAAATTTTCGCAGCGGCAACACCGAGGAGGCTGCTACCATTGAGGTCCAATACTATGGAATCTTTTGACAGTTCTTTTTTAATCTGTCCAAGGAGTTTTTTACTTCGTCTTCCGTCATTTAAGTATGAAACGTGTGTTCTTGATAGAGCCATATGTACACCACATTCACATATTGGCCTTTTATAGTTTTTTGGTTGGGTTTGGTTGTTTTCTGTGAAAAATCTTGTTTTAAAATAAAAATATCCCGATGGGTAGAAGATGGGTCCTATTTTGAAACCACTTCAATAAAAAGGTGTAAAGGTGCATCTAGTTGCATTACTAAGTATTTATCAATAAAATAAATGAAAATTGTTTTCCTTGCAAAGTAAAATAAAATAATAAATACTTTTAATACGTAACCTTGGGCGGTACCAAGGTAAAATCGATTTTTCAAAACTGATATTATTTTACTTTCTTAAAATCAAAATTGTGGATATATCTTGTCGATTCCAAACTATTATTTAAAAACTTTATTTAATTTAATAATATTAAAATATGTTCGACAGTTACGAACATTTTGAATTTGATTTTTTTTCGTCAATATTCTAATGTTTGTATAGTTATTTTATACATTGGATTCTGAAGGCTACTCCGGATGGAGACAAATACAACAAATCAAAACACCATGAAAATCAGTCCAGCCGTTCTCGAGTTCTAAGTGTTCTAAGTGTGTAATAATTAACATTTTTATGTTATTATTTTGTTTTGGTTGCTTCATTGATTGATAAAGCTAACATTTACGGATTTAATTGATACTTTTTTATATGTCTAATGTTGAAACCTTTCCGGTTTGGAAGTGGGTTTAAAAAAAAAAGATAATTCTACAATAAATAGACATACGTAAATAAAACCACAGTGAGTACTCATCCTGACATGAGACCAGGGTGACTTCCTGATCTTTTGTAACTGCCATGGTTTGTGGAAGATAGTAGACCGCTTGCATCCAGTGGTCTCTCCAGGGTATGGAGTCTTGGGGCCTCTCTGACGATAGATCAGCATCTGGGTGACCCCACCAAGGTGCACAACTAATTACTATTTTGCCTGAAATTAAAAGTAAATACTTTAATAAACCCTATGGGGTATATATATAAATGTTATATCTAAATCACTTAATTAATCTTGGAATTCTTTAAGACACAATCTTTTAGAAGAAAAATCATAACATTTGTTTGTTTGTATAGATACCGGCAAACATCTTGAACAAATGTCCTTGCCGCAGAAGCTATTTTTAGGTATCCTCGGAGGGGGGGCGGCGGATGGTGGTGCGCGGCGGCGGGAGTGACGTGTCAATCGCGTGATTGGTAATTCAGTTTGTACGATGCGCAAACTTTCCCCCACTCCCTTGTTTATGGCTCAAGAAGTTTGCCGGTATCTGTAATTATGCTATTAAATTATGCTTATTTGTGTGTTGCATACTATCAAATAAAATAAAAAAATTTACCCTCCGTGTCCATATTAAGTTCCCACCACATAAACACCATTTGCGCATTCCCAGTTATCATTGAATTAAACTGTTGTTTCACAGTTCGCTTCTTATCAATTGCTGAACGACCGGACCAATCATAATAAAATACGGGAATCTGATCTGATATCTCCTTGAAAGCCTGACGGGGAAGCTGCGATAGCTGAATATCATGAACTGCTGCTGAACCGCCACAATCTTTCATCTGCAATTCAAAATTAAGCATTCAATGTAGTTAAGGGTTTTCCAGGCCAAACATTCTAAATATCTAAATGTGACTGTTCATAAATTTCAGCATTTTCTTTTCTTAAAATAAAGTTCACAAAGAGAGAGTGACTTTAGATTAATTACAACCTAGCCTATACAATAATTACGGCTAATAAGTAATATTATGTTGACTTAATTTTCTACAATACTAGTGAATAGCTTAAACTAAGGTAATGTTCATTAACAGTCTTAGGGTGAGATCTATAGTGCGCACTTAGACTTTGCTCTGACTTAACTATCGAGCTAAGACACAGTCGGTATTTATAGAGCAAACTACGAATCTCTCCCTAGTGTTGGCTTAGCTTAATCTCAAGTCCACGAAATCGACGACTTACCAAAAACTTTGACTATAAGCCTAACAAAAATAATGGCCCAAAATTTGCTTTACCATCATATCTTTTACTGGACTTTTTATTTTTGTCGGTTTTTAATGAACGGTGTTGCCATTTTGTATCGGAGTTCCATAGACTTTGGGAAAAATAGAATTTGAATTCAAAGAAATTATAAATGATCTTGATAAATACCTATGAAATGCATGAAATAAAATAATTACACATTATTATGGTATTTATTGTTGTTTATTTATATTATTTATGTAATTGTTCAAACCCCATTTTTGAGAAATCTTAAAAATAACTGGTGTGATTTTTGTATGTCACCTGGCAGCCCTGGCAATTGGCATATTATAGTGACAACGAAATTCAAAACTATAACCTAACCAAAACATTGCGATCCGTTCTACGTAATAAAATTATTGTCATCTTTAAATAATTAATACATTTTCTAAAAGGTTACTCGTGAATTTCTAGTTATTGCAATAATAAAATAAATGAATACATAAATAACAATAAATTGAAGATATATGTGTACCGTTTTAGATTTTTAAATATTTGTTATTGTTAACTTTTTTAAAGGATAATAAACAAAGTATTGCATGAAATGAAACATCAATTTGTATTTTGACATTTTCTGTCTTAGCTTGGGCTTAGCTTAATCTCACCGTTAAAATGTCTATAAATACGAAATCATAGTTTAACCTTAGTGTACACTAAGCAAAGTTTTTCGTAAGGTAAGTCTGAGCAAAGTCCAAGTGCGCACTATAGATCTCACCCTTAGTGATATTTATAAACACGATTTAGGTTAGCTTTGGTTGACGCACGTGTTAGTGAGATTTTCGTGTTTTTCTAGGTGTTTCTGGGATTTTCCTAAGCTGAAATAGTTGTTATTGTGCTATTTAGATAAAACTAACCCTATTGGTGCTGGTAAAGTATAAAATTTAAATTAATATAGTTGCTGCAGTTCTACTAATATGGATCTAGATCCTGACCCCGAGCCTCCTGACCCGGGAACTCTTTCTATGTCTCGCAAACGACAAGGAGAGGAGAGAAATGTACCTTCCTCTAAAAAACTATTACGGATCCCGCTCAGGCGAACCCGTCTATACAGCACCTTTATGTCCACCCCTCCTTCTCCGATGGCCCTCGGTCTTACTCTAATGAAGATAAAGGTCCGTTCATTATCCAAGTCTCCCGTGAAGTAGAAGACCCATCTTCCGGAGCCTCTTTACGTGCTATTACATTCGGCCAGTTTATGCATAAGCACAAAATTAGTTCTATCATACACGATGGTGAAAAAATGTAGGCCGTAATAAAATCACCGTTGAGTTTTCTTCTGCTGAAGCTGCCAACAACTTTCTGGTCAACCCGGTTCTTAGTATGTGCAAGTTTAAAGCTATTATCCCCACTTATAACATAACCAGAATGGGGTTGGTCAGAGGTGTACCGGTGGACTGGTCAATGGACGAACTCGTAAATTCATTAGAGCTTCCTCCTGGATGTGGTGAGGTATTAAAGTCAAGGCGACTGAACCGAAAAAACAGTTACTGAGGGTGTCACCACCTGGGTGCCTACCCAATCTGTCGTCCTTACCTTCAGGGGGCAAATGCTCCCTGCCAAGGTTTACTCCTACCACACTTCCCTCCCTGTCGAAACCTACAAACTTCCTACCATACAGTGCCTGAACTGCTGCCGTTTTGGACATATCAAATCGATCTGCCGATCTAAGCCCAGATGTTACAAGTGTGCTCAGCCTCATACAGGTGATACGTGTGAAGTCACCTTAGAAACATCCACATGTTTACATTGCTCAGGCAAACATTTTGCTTCTGATAAGGGCTGTCCAGAATTTACTCGACAGCAATCCATAAAAATGGTGATGTCCCAGGACAACATCTCATACGTTGAAGCAGCAATTAAGTTTCCTCCTGTCCGACGTTCATATGCTGAGATAACAAAAGAAATGTTTACCCCTCCTGCCTATTCTCTAAAAATCTCCTCAAAAAGCCCAAACTCCTACCAATACTTCCTATCGCCAAACAATTTATCGCCCCCTCGTCCCCAAGCTCCTCTAGCAAAGGGGTACGATAGAACAGCTCACCAGACTATTGTTGGTGAGTGCCCCTCATCCCTCCCAAATGGTTGTGCTCTCAACAATAATGTTGACACCCTTCCCTCTCAGGGCAAAATGTTAGAATTTATTTCTGAATTTCTTCTAAGTATTGTCGCTCCATGTAGCGAAATCCCCCTACCGCCCAACGTTGCCAAAAACCTATCCCAACTTTTTAAATTATTACAAAACGGACCCAATAACCCTAATTCAATGGAATAGTAAAAGCTTACGTTCAAAAAAACATGAATTAATTTCCCTCATAAACCTCCATAAACCCACGATTGTTGCCATCTCGGAGACATGGCTGAGACCTGGTTCCCGATTTCGGGTGCCTGGCTTCTCCTGTCTGCGGGATGACAGGAATGATGGGTATGCGGGCAGTGCTGTCTTTGTACGGCATTCCCTCCCATTCTCCCAAATTCCTCTTCCTACCCACAGCGATCAGATTAATGCTGTTGCTGTTCGTACCTCAGACATTTCTTTTGTATCTTTGTATATTCCTCACCCTTCTCCTTCTCTTCTTCCTGAGATACGATCAATTTTATCATCCCTTCCCAGCCCTATCATAGCCATGGGTGACTTTAACACCCATCACACTATGTGGGGGTGCCATGCTAGTGATAGGTTTGCTCCACTGCTGATTGACTTACTCGACGATGTCAATCTCTGCATCCTCAATGATGGCTCTCCAACTCGCAGGGTATACCCTAATCAGAATCCCAAATCTGCAGTGGATCTCACCCTCTGTTCCCCTAACCTAGCCTCGCAACTAACTTGGAACGCCCTTGAGTTCACCTATGGCAGTGATCATTTTCCTGTAATTATTTCATTAAATAACAAATCCTTACCCCCGCTTACCACAACCCCCTTTTAAAATATAAACTCAAAAAAGCAAACTGGAAAGATTATGCCCAATCCGTTGATTGCATGGTAGACACTCTGCCTGATTTGGAATGCGAAGAAAATGTCTTGTCTTGCTATGATCTTTTTTTAAATTCTCTCATATCTTCGGCCGATTCCCAGATCCCCAAAAAGCACTCTCCTAAAAATCAGCTGCTTTCCTCTCCCTGGTGGGATGATGAATGCAGCGATTTGTTTGGTAAGAGAATGGTTGCAGAGAAATCCTACTCAGCCAGTATGTCTCAGGTGAACTTTATTAATTACCAGAAGCTTGATGCTAAAATTAAAAGGTTGGTATCCAGGAAGAAAAGATGTAGTTGGATACAATTTTGTGAATCCCTTAGCCCTCGTTCTCCATCCTCTATTGTGTGGTCTAATGTGAGGAGATTCCGTCGTTCCCTGAACCATGTTAATCCTTCTTCAAATAACCCTTCTGACTGGCTTAACAACTTTGCGGATAAACTGGCTCCACCTTTCGTTCCCTATGTGGACTCATTTTTAAGTTCTACGCCAGCTCCGGCTAACAATGAAATGGATGCTCCCTTTTCTTTCTCTGAGCTTCAAATCGCTCTTAATGGTCTCAAAGATTCAACTCCAGGGGAAGATGGCGTTCCATATTCCTTCCTGACTAGACTTAATGACAAAGCTAAACTTTACTATCTAAAAAATAATCAACAAAAGTTTTGAAACTGGTATTATACCGACATCTTGGACATCTCAAATAGTCATTCCCATTCTCAAACCTGGAAAAAACCCTTCAGATTCAAATTCTTATCGTCCCATAGCTTTGTCATCTACTTTAGCTAAAGTAACGGAACACCTTCTTAAAAAACCGACTGGAATGGTTAATGGAAAGTAGAAATATTCTCCCCTCATCCCAATTTGGGTTCCGGAAGGGTATGAGTACCACAGACAGCCTCAGTATACTGACAACTGACATTCGCCTAGCCTTTACAAAAGGAGAGTACCTTGTGGGTGTGTTTCTTGATATTGCTTCTGCATATGACAGTGTCCTACTTCCAGCGCTCAGGCAGAAACTGCTTAAGCTGAGTGTTTCTTCGAGGATGGTACATCTCATATGTAATCTGCTATTTAGCAGATCTATTTTGATAAAGCATCAGAATACCTCTCTTCCCCAGACTAGTCTGGAAAGGTCTCCCCAAGGCTCAGTTCTCAGCCCTCTGCTCTATAGCATTTATACCCATTACCTCGAACTGTCTGTTACCAGTTTTTGCAATATTTTACAATATGCTGATGATATTGTCCTTATCACAGCTCAGGCAGTATAGGGGAAGTATCTAGTAATTTGTAAATTACTGAAGAGCTTGGACGAACGTAGATTTTGAATGAAAGTGCGTTAAGCTGTTGTCATATAAAAGTTTATTGTTTAGTGATAGACTGGCATATGGGAAGATAGATAATCAGTGCAAAATATATAAAAATACCTCGCCTTTTAATCTTGCAAGGAACCAACGAACGAATGCTCGGACAACAGCGATATTAAGTGGTTTGTGTGTGGATTTACGTCATTAACGCATCAAGGTAGCGGGTTTATTACCAATACTTTTGTTGTATACCGTGTGTACCGTA